TTCTGGTGTGTATCTGATTTTTTAAAATTTGAAAATGAAAACACTTTAATGTGCTGATTATTGCATATGCCCATCTGACTGGCAGAGACAGGGAAATCATATGTTCGGTCTTTATTCTAAGTGAACTGTTACCCAATTTTGCTTCAGTTTCCATCTGCTTCCCATCTTATCTTGTAGTAAAGTTATAAAACAGATTTTTGGGGAAAAATTAAAATACTAAAGAAAAACATTCTTCTGAAATACTCCCTGGTTTTCAGCAAAAATTTATGTGGACTGTAAAGATCTTTGTAAACAAAGCTTTTTACTGTGTCAACCTTCTAGTTAATTACCAAATACACTTTAAGAAAAGAGTGCTCTGTAACTTAAAGCAGTTCTTAACTGTCAAATATACAAATAGCCAGACATTCAAAAATAATTCTTGATACTTCCAGCATTATTTGTATAATCCCCTATCTGATCAGAGTTATACAAACTCTTGGAATAGGTTTTTTATAGAAAATAAAAATATGCATGTCCAGACAGCTTTAGAAATAATTTTAGAAGGCTTTTCAAAGCTCTTTCTGGCATTCTGTGACCTTGTATGTGCCAGGATCTACAAAAACATCTCGTTTTCCCCCTGTTCTCTGTGTCCTTTCTTTCTCCAACAGTTAAGCTGAGATAGCGAGACCCAGTGAAATCCTTTATGCTTTTGGATCCTGGGCAGCTGGGGATCTGGAAGTGCCAGAGACCAAACTCAGCAGCTTCCCCGAACTGCTCAGGGCCTGAGATGCTCCCTGCTGAAGGGCTCACTCAGCACTGACCTTGGCCACAAAGCCATCCTGCCTGTCCCTGAAAACTGTATGAGCTAAATGGTCTTCCCATCGGAGGCAGATGACCCGTATGTGCTGGAACGCCCCCGTTAGCAGGCATTCGTCTTGGCAAAGATGCTGTTTGGCCTAATGTACTTGGTTGACTTAGAGAAGGTACTAAGTTGCAAGCTTGCTTTAGCAGTTAAAATCTCTCTACATGGCTGTAATGGCCAAAAAGAAATGAGACTTAAGATTCTCAGAAATGTGCCCAAAACTCGTTTTGGATTTGCCTTGCAACAGAAGAGCAAAGCTTTTGTCATGAGGGAGAGGGAGAAGACAAACTCTGGCCTCGCATCCGTGATGACCTGTTCGGTGAACTATTTCTGCAGCCTGGAGAAGAGTTCTTTGCTCACCGTGTGCCCCTCAGACACAGCCGGTGGCACAGAGAAGAGCCCGAGGGGCTAACCTGTGTCAGGTTCGATGTCACCAACCCTCAGGGCCGCAGGTGAAAGGGCCCCACAGCCGGTTTCCACAGGAACTGGCAGGCACCTGCAGCTTGTTGAGCCGGGGTGGATCTGTCCTTACCTGTGCATTGAGCATTCAGCAACAGACACACAGGTGTCCTGGCAAGGCCTCATCAGGTTTCATTGTTTGGAGGGCAAGCTTTTTTCCCCCCTTTCTGGCAAGGCATTTTCACTCCGGCTGTGTTGCGCTCCATCCCTTACTTTGTTTAGCTTATGTTTGGAAATCTTTGGGATAACTTATTTCTTTTTGTTATGCTACAGTCTGGAAGGAATTTGCAGACAGGGCCAAATTTACGTCTAGTTTCACTGCTGCCTGAGGTTCTGTTCTGGTAGCTTGCTGCTTGCAAGGAGGAAGAAAACATTATGTCAGCCCAAAAATTTGTGAAGTTTTGCCATTTGCTGAAGTCATAAAGATTGGATGATACATAAGATTTCAACAAGATCAATTCTACTATGAAAGAACCATTGTTCTTTGTACACAGAAGGAGGTTCCTTTGAGTGTAAGACCAGGTTCCCTCACGTTCTCATCACCGCTCACAGGCCCTAAAGTGTTAAATTGCAGCAGGTATGTCATCAGATCCTGCGTATTCGCTCCTTTTGTGGTATCTTGCTGTGCACTCTGAAGCTTTGGTGTACAATGCAGATATTGCTTGAGTGAGGAATGAGTGGTGATTGTCAAGATTATAGAAATGCAGATTAATTCTTGGTTTGAGATTATATCGGGGACTGTTGTGCGCTATTTGTGAGAATATTCTCCAGATCAGTAGCTTTCACAGTCTTTGCGCTGCTCAGCATTGAGGTGTTTTGTTTTGTGGAAGAGTTGTGAGCAGGACAGAGCATAATTGAAAATAAAACAACATTCTGCAGACCTCTGCAAGATTTCAGGTAAATGTTTATAACTAAACTTGACTTGCACCACACTCCTTAGGTGACTTGCAAAGGGATTTTAAAGTGCTGGAAGTGAGAGGAGAGAGGGATAATCAAGTTTTGTGTGCTCGTATGAGGATGGACAATGTGCTTTAACCTGCTCTTTCTTTCCCTTTCTGTTGTTAAGCATCAGCAATGTTAGAAGCAAGATGGCTGGAAGCAGTTTTATCACTTTGCAGCAGTACCTGGCCGTGTATGGTGACCGGGGCCCTCTGAAGCCAGGGAACGCTTGCAATTGCAGTTCAGGGTTTTGTTCACTGGGACATCATGCCTTGAACCAATCAAGGCTGGTGACTAACAGGTGAGAGGGACCTCCTGTTGTCTTCAGTGGTTTTTTTTACTTCACAGCTTCCAGAAGGAATGATTAGTACAAAAAAAACCCAGCACAGCACTTAAGGAAGTGCCTGCAGAGAGCAGAAATCAAACTGGTCACTGGACAAGCCATAATCTTTCAAGGGCTTCTGATGTTTTTTCCAGACAAAAACAAAGGACATTTTTAAAAATGTGGTAATAGATATGATTTTTCTGAGATGCTGGTGTAGGGACATTCAATGTAAACAGTGCAGGAAGGAACAGAAGAAATAACAGATTCACCTTTAAAAGCCAAAAAGACATTTTGATAACCTAATGACACATTTCTCATAGTGTTTTGAGTTTACACTGCTTTGTAAACTTAAACTGTCCAGAAGAATCCTCAAAGTTGTGTATGTGTATTTGGATGATTTTAAGTCTAAAACACACACCAAACGAGACCTTAGAAATTAAGTATGTTTGTTCATAAACACCTTTGAGCTCAGGTTACAGTGTCTTCCCAACTGGTAATTAAGTGGTTAATTTAAACCCATTTTTGGCATACTTTCATCTGGTACATTTTCAGGTGGTGTAAGGTGACGTTACCAGTCTATAATGTTAGGTGCTGTGTTGAGGCACAATTTAAGTCTTTATCAATAGTATGTTCAAAGTAGGTAATACATTGATTCTTTGCTAAGGTTTGCGAAGATGTAAGTTTGGCAGTGTAAGGACACATAAGACTGTCATCAACACTTTCAGCAAACACTAATTTTTATTTTATTTTATCAAAAGCCTAATTACTATAGTAAATGGGCAAGCAGATTAGCCGCACCTAGGGGTTGCTTGCAGCTGTTGGGTCACTTTCTCCTTAAGTCTTGCCAGCAGGGTGCTCGAAGGTGGATTTTGTCCACTGAAATTTGCAATTGCTGAATGCCCATTTCAGTGGGCATCTGCTATGAGCAAAGGATGGGATGGCTACTTTTGTAGGCACAAATCTCTGGTTTCATGTTTGTTTAAGTTTTGCTGTAGTGGCAGTTACATCATTGTACGGGATCAATGGTTAGGCAAATCTGAAACTTCAGTGAATTATCTTGAAAACATAGAGGGACAGCTACAGGACTGTGCTACAGTGGGTACGTTTAACAGCTGTGCCCATGTTTTCATGTGATCAATACCTTGCAGTTGCTTGAGGTACCTTTTGGTGCCTGGTGTGGCGTCAGAACGTGTATCTGTGCCGTAAGCTTAGAGAATGAAGTGATGCAAAAATTGCTATTTCTGTAAATATTTTATATCTGATTGCTGTGTACAGTAAGTGGCAGATTCTAGTGTCTTATACATGAAATACAAGTTTCTGGACAAAAGGGAGAGCAATGCATTGCACACATATATATATATACATCTACACATACACACACTTATGTTGCCCAATGTGCACATACTCAAGGTATGTAAACATACTTGGTGTAAATACACACTGTGCATAGATGCTGTGATTTACCCTTTGTATGATGTAGCAGCATTAAGTTTCGATGTTACTGGATTAGCTGTAGCTTTTGCTAAAGATGTGCAAGAATATAACAATCCCTGTGTGCCCTAAATTTGCTAGATATTAGGTCACTACCAGGAAAAGCTCAGAAGAGGAGAAGTGGATGGAACTCTGGAAGGGGATGCAGTAGATTTGACTTTGTTCTTGACCTGGCTGCTGGCTGGTCTTGGACAATTGGCTTTCTCTTTCTCTCTTTTCCACCTGTTAAACGCGGATGATACTAACTTAGACCCTATATAAGCAAACAGTTTGAAATCTCCTGATAGGAATAACAGCTAATTCTTACCTGGAGTTACTATTTAGTGAAACATCTGTTCAGGGGGCTGGTAACAATGAGGCATAATTTTAGTTGCTCCCAGATAAAAATGCACATCCTTAAGCGTGACTGTGCTGTTCTATTTCTGACTTGGTTTTGAGTGTCAAGACCCTTAAGCCTGACCAGGTGATTGCCAATGGCATTTCTCTCAGACTGTCACCATTACTGCCCTCTTAATTTGCAGATACAAAAATGCTTCAGGAAATTCTAAAGCTTTCCGTGTAGAGGAATCCTAACCACCCTGGCTTGCCTGATTTTTCACGCTTCCTTTTGTTTTGCTGTGATAGCCGCAAGTAGTCAGTATGAAAAGCAGGCACAAGAATCACGGATTTGCTGCAAGAATAACTCCAGAAATTTGTTGGTATTAGCAACAGCAGTGTGTGTGTGAATGCATTACATGGTATGAGGGGAGAATCCAAATTAAAATCTTGTTGCTGAAGAAGTGACAAAGACCTTACAGGTATGAGACTCCAGGCTAACTATGGTTATATTAATAACAGTAGTAATAAATAAATCTGGTCTATGAGGTTCTTTTAATACACAAATTTTTTACCAATTGTTTTTCTAATTTTAATTTAGTTTGTGGTTTTTTTCTTCTTTTTTCCCAGCATTTACTAAATGCTGTCAAGAAACTGGTCTTCTTATGGTGGTGAAGTGTCGGCAAGAGAACACGGCACTGAAAGACTGTCTGGTTGGCTAGTAAGTCCCTCATGAGGGGTTTTTTGTTGCTATTGTTGTTGTTGCATGGCCTACACTAATCTAAAAGTTAGCAGGAATCTTAAATTTTCTCAGAATGGTTACACAAAGTTAGCAACTTTGATGCGTTTTTCTGAAAATGGTGTCTTCGCTTTATTACAAAATATGGGACCCCAGCTGACAAGATTTTATTCCCCTAATAAAGCTGTCTTATGGCTATAAAGAAAGACTCTTGATTTAAGGTGACGGACCTAGATTATCAGCACACACGTCATGTAGCCCAACCTTCCCTGTGCTGAACTACTTGTGCAGGGCTGGGGGTGAGCACCTTCATATACCCGCTTAATGAGACAGGATAAGTTTATTTGGATTTTGATTCTTAAAAAGTTTTCTAACATTTAGTCTTTTTCCTGAAAGTCTCCTGCTGTTGCGAACAGCCATAGCAAACAGCAGCAATGGGAAATTGTTTGCTATTAGAGAGGGCAGCTTGATGCCAGGCTGAGTTGACCTGTCTCTTTCAGAAATTCTGATTTATCCCTCAGGCTGAAGTGTTAGATTCTTGAATTTCCCAGGGTGAGGGCTGGGGATTCTTTTTGGGGGGAGGAGAAGGGGCTTCGTTTGTTTTCTAGTGGAAAGTTGTCCTGCCCCGTTAAACCAGAAATTAAGATTTTAGCCTTTAAACTAGTGACAGGTATTTTCAGGTATTTGGGAGCTGATGAAAAAACACGTGCATTCAGGCAAGAGTTCAAGCCTAACTGCAGTGGGTACTTGCTGGAGCTCTTCAGTTTTATTTGTCTGTAGCTATGCCTTTGTTAAAAAACAAACAATACTTAAAACCAAAATTTTGAGATAAATGAATTTAATAATCAAGGACCTTGACTGTTTGAGACAAACACTTGAACCTGTTCCCAGTAGTTGCTTGGATGCATAAAAATAAGTATAACCTAGCAGATTCCCATGCTGAGGAAGCCAACTGCTGCAAATAATAAATTATTTAGCTGAACTGAACTATCAAATGTCTTTCCCTTTTTCTCCTTTCTTCTTCACAGCTTCACTGTAGAGGCTTGAAAATGACTATGCCTCAAGAGAGAGCAGTTTTCATGAACGAATGCAAACTCAGCATTTAGTTTACAGAGATAACTTTAACGTTCACGTACTTTATTAAAAAGGTTATTTTATGATTGAAGGCAGGCAAATTTGCTTTGAGTGTGAAAGGACTTATTTGTGCAGTATTTGTTCCATATTCTAAGATGAAAACCAGTATTTTGTATTTGCCTGTTTTGTAGCTATTCTGATCCAGCGTTCTATGAAGAATGCAAAACAGAATATTTGAAGCAAAGAGAAGAATACAGAGCAACTGGAATTAAGAAGAAAAAACAGAAGGTTACTTCAAATGTGTAGTTAAAACTTAACAAGAACTTCTCAAATTTTATATCCAACTTTGATCTGACTTCACCTAAACAGACTTAAATCATCTGTATCCCTCTGTGTACAATTTAATCCGAAACACACAAAATGAGATGAATGGAGAATAAAATAATGTCTGAATTTAAAAGTCAACTTTCTAATTTTCTGTCATTAAAGATACAAAGCATGCCGTCACAGTTTGCAAGAGAAGCGGCATCGGTCTTTTCCTCTGTCTGGACTTGAGGATTTGCTATTGATTTATACAGTTCTGTGTGGCAGGCAGGCTACATGAACACTTAACAGTGAAAAATTTAAGTTACGGTAACTGATCCCAAATTGAGTATACATTAAAGTTGGTCTATTTGTCATCCGAAGCTGAGGACATGTTAGAAGAGAAGGGTGGCAGATGCAGAAGGGAACAGCTCCTTGGATCAATTTGATTCATCTCTTTCATGAAAATGTTGAGTTAGATGAGAGCTTGATGGTACTTTTCCTACACTGTGACTCATTTTTAAGTCTACAGTGGCAGAAGAGATGGATGCCCTGTGCTTGTGTGTGGCCCAGACGAACCGTTTTGATTGTAGAGGAAAACGTGATCTGACAGAGACCTTTCCTGACAACGGGTCAAGGCACGCTGAAGGCAAAATCATTGGGATCAGTGCCCTCCCCTGCTTTCCTCCTTCAGAATGAAGATGATTGTACAAGCTTCTACACTTCAGGAGTGAGCGAGTGACCACACTCACAGAATTATTATGTGTAGAGGTGAGTAAACAACTGGACTAAGTATGTAAGATGCAGGTCACTTGCAGAAAGCGAGCGTAAGCAAGTCCCCCTTTAAAAAGGGACATACAGAGGATCTTTTGTGTGCTGATATTTGATGCTGCTTAATTGTAGAACTCTAAAATGATAAATGGCTTCACTGGAGATAGGCTGTAAAAGTTTATATAACTATTTTGGAGTATCTTTTGAAGCACTTTGAAATAAAAAAAATTCTGTACAAGTAAGGAAAGGCTGCACTTAGAAAACTTACATGGTAACTTTAATGCCCTGATTTAAAAAAAATAAATTGTTTTAAGTAGTAGGATTTGTTACTTTTCCATCAGAGGAAGCAAAATTGACTTGTTTGGTTTAGTACTGTTTCACTGCAAAACCGGTATTGCTCTAAAACTATTCAAGTAGGAAAATCCACATCAGGCTTTGAGACACATATATGTCAAGGACAGAAGTTAATGTTGCAGGTTCGTCTTTGCCCTTTTACTGGAATAGTCAGTAATAATGTTGCTTCTGCTATTAGATAGCAGATTGGCCGGAGGACTAGGAAATGCTTGTGAACGAAGAGATGCTGGTGAATTAAGCATAGATACAGGCTGGGTGGTTGAGTGGCTTAAGAGCAGCCCTGGGGAAAGGGACTTGGGGGTGTTGGTGGATGAAAAACTGAACATGAGCCAGCAACGTGCACTCACAGCCCAGAAAGCCAATAATTACATCTGGGGCTGCATCAAGAGAAGCAGGGAGTGTACTGATAGAATAAGGGATAACAGTTTTAAACTGAAATAAGGTAGATTTAGATTAGCCATTAAGAAGTTCTTCACTATGAGGGTGGTGAGACACTGGAATGGGTTGCCCAGAGAAGTTGTGGCTGCCCCTTCCCTGGAAGCATTCAAGGCCAGGCCTGATGGGGCTTTCAGCAACTTGGTCCAGTGGGAGGTGTCCCTGCCCATGGCAGGGGGGTTGGAACTAGATGATCTTTAAGGCCTCTTCCAACCCCAATCATTCTATGATTTTATGAAAAAGTGAAAAGATGTGTAGGATTGTGTTAGGCAAACTTAAATGGCATTCAGCTCTAAACCAAACCACCATCAGATAGCTTCTGTGGAATAAAGTTTCCTACACATGTACTTGTTCTTGGCTCCTCAGTTCAAGCATTTTGGAAAACAGAGGCATTCCACTCAGTCAGCAGAAAATTAGTTGCTTCCCTGTATGTATTTAAAAAAAGAGGAAACTTAAGGTTAATGGTGAAATGGTTTTTTTAAGGACAGCGACTGTTTTGTTATCCCACTACAAAAATCTGCTCCAGTTTTTGGCCTCTGGAAAGTGAGCCTGGGTGTTTGTAGTTACTGTCAAAAGCACTTCCAGACAAAATTTGGGTTCTCTTAGAGGCAAGTGCCATGTGCTGCACTGAGGGCTCACCTGGGTCTTACGTTCACCCCACAGCTGGTGCACACAGACAACAGCACCAGCGCTGGTGAGGGGGAACCCCTGTGCATGGACCAGTACTGCTGGGCAGGAACGTCCCCCAGCGTTCTGTACGTGCTGTCCATGAAGGACTGTAAGAACTCACTTCTGTGCTGATAACCGAGCTCCGCTGTCAAGCCCGAAATTGCCTGCACTGAATTAGGCTGTTGGCCACTTGCTTCTCTCCACCTCCCCTGTCGGGTGTGTGAGGAGGAACTGGGGTTGTTGCAGCTCCTGCTTCGTGTACTTAGAGGCTGGGCTGCCCTTGGCTCTGCCATCAGCTTTCTTTGCTTTAAGCCCCTGGCCTTAATGGGATGTTTTCTAGTTTTGAATTCTTGATTTCACACCTTTCACTTTCTTAATGTCTTGTGCAGTATCCTGTATTTTAATTGCATTTACATCTTTTATTTAAAGTTTAAATGAAAGAATGAGTACCATGAAGTGACAGACTCACAGTAGTGAATTCCTTTCAGTTTTGTTTTTGTCTCAGCTGCAACCTCTCCTTCCTGCTGGGGTTAACAGGAAGCAGCCCTAGATCCTAATCAATGCAAGAAAACACCAGCAGTATTGGCAAAGCCTTCAGCTGCACCTCAGCAGTGAGCTAGAAGGGTTTTTTTTGCGACATGCTGAATATTTTTGCAAAAGCACTTCTAGTTTATCAGGTTATTCAGGAATGACAGCCGGTGTAGCTCTGGAAGCCTGGTTTCTTCCCCCCCACCTCCCCCCAGAATAAAACATGGAACTCCCTGTACTTGGTGAGTGCAGCTGGCTCCAGAGCTGGTGAGGGAGGGAGCTGACATCCCTGCAGACGTGCAGCACCTCATGTAGCCGCCTCCACCTAAACCAGGGATTGCAACTCGAATTCATGGTCCCCTAGATGTTTCTTTGTACAGTTGTTTCATTTTGAAATCAATTCTGCAGGGTTCTTACACATTGTTATTCTGCATAGGAGACAGTTGATGGAATTATCTGTGTGCATCTCTCCTGTTTTCCAGTTAGCCAGTTAGTACAAAAACGTTAGGTAATGGGACTAACTCAAGAAGCCAAAGTCTGAAGCTTGGCAATGCTAATATTTGCACAGGTGCCTTCTTAAAAATTAGGGTGGCATTAACAGGTGTTTACTGTTCCAGTTTTAACACTGCGTGTTACAACTCGTGGCTTTCACTGTAGCTGTGGGACTGCCTGCAGCCCCTGCTTACCCCCCTTTAACGGGACCCATATGCTCAGCTGGTTTAAAACCATCCTCAGTGTGGCACTATTGATTGACATGGATGGAATAAGGTCTTGAAACTAGAAATATCATTTGTCACCTCTTACCCTCCCAGGCTGCAGCAAGGTGTCTGTCAGCTTCTGCAGCAGAGGGGCCTATCTTTGCCTCTTCTAGCACTTACACATCTTGGGTGCCTGCCAAGTTCTGCCATTTTTTAAAAAAATCCATGTATTAAAACTCTCTTCAAACTCCTGAGACAAGTCTCCTGCAAATGCAAGATCTAAAAGGAAGGAGGAAGAAGGTGTCATATGCTCATTTAAGAAGTTTGCCTTTATAGAGTAAAATGAAAACTCCACAGGGAAGACGAGCGGCAGTTTGTCACGTGGGGGGTTTCAAAGATGAGTGGAACTACCCACGGCTGCGGTCCGAGACGTCGCCCAGCTCGTTGTGCCTCACATTTAGTACTGATGTGCTCCTCCTTGAGTAACTCCTGCAAGTAATTTCTGCATTCATTTACTTTGCTGGTCCAAAAACGGTCAAATACAGTTGAAATATGTTGCATCTAGTTAAAAATCTGTTCAGTAACACTACCTGGGTTCTTTCTTTCATACTTCTCCCCTAGATCAAACATCCACACTCAAACACCATCATCTTACCACTTATCTTACTGTATCTTGATGTTTGAACCACCCTGCCTTTTCCATCTTAAAATATAATGAAATTAATTCTGCTGGACACTGATCTCCTTTCAGATCACTGTTACTACAGAGAACAGACTTTTTTTTTAAAGACTAGTTCACTGCAACTTGATCAAAATTGGGGTTCACCTTTAGTGCTCATAATAAAAAAATTGAATCCTATTGTCCATTGTCCTACGTTCACACAGTTGCGAGTAGCAGACTCATTGATTGCCCTGACAGAAAGGGGCAAAAGCCTGACCCCTAAAAAACCCCAAAACAATAAAAACAAAACACCCCAAACCCCATATGCCTTTTTGTATTCAAACTACACAAAGGAACAGGGAAACACCTCACTGCTCCACATCCACTTTTCTTCACGGGGCCTGGCTGATGATCAGAAGAAAATACAAGTGAGGCAGGTACTGGAGCTTTTCACTCCTACTTTACCAGGCCAGAGCATCATTCAAAATCCAGGTACCTGAGTGCAGGAGTCTCAAAGTCTACTGAAAGTTGGTTTCAAAATAAAACTAAATCTGCATTACATCACCAATATAGTTCATATTACACTGATGTGGGCCTGCGTTAAATTACTTGGACTGGGGTAACTCCACCATGTCTGGTGCTGTGCCCGTCTTTTTCCAGCTGTAAAAATTTGACAGTGCATCACATCTAATTTGGGAGTTTGCTTTCTTCAGTATGGCTGGTTCACATAAGAGGAAAACTAGTTTTGAACCCACAAAATTGGCAAGGGAGACTCATAAAGCAATCAGATTTTTAAAATATTTAAAATGAACCAAACAGTGGAAGTTTACATACAAGTTATTAGGAAGTTAGTGTAACTTTCCAGATATCCAAATACAAATTCATCA